ATAAGAATTCCATATCCCTGGCAGGTGAAGGTGCATCTGCACGGTCTAACACAATGTTCCCACCAACGCACCAGTGTTCTGGGGGACTTCCTGGCCGCATAATCCCAGTAAATACTCCCAGCCAGTCAAGGAGTCAGGACCTGGCTCTCCTCCAAGCTCTGACCGGGAGAAGCACACAATCCCTAGTCTCCTCTATGGGCCATAATCAGTGGGGTAGAAGACTAGCCCATAGCCCCCTCCAAAAGCCCCTGTCCCATTTGGGTCTGTCACAGTGCATCCCTTTGCTAGTAGGGGGACATCTGTGGGCCCTTTCAGCCATCTGGATTCAGAAGGTTCCAAACCATTTCAGGGCTATTTAAGCCAGTTTACAGTTTGGAAGCCCATGCTTGTTTATCTCACTGTGGAACCTAAGGGGTTAATCTGCACTGTGTAAAAAGGAAGTTTGATTCTGATTGCTCTGTTCCTCCATTTGTTTAAGCAAGCACCTCTTATCGCCTGATAAGAGACTAAACCGTAGGCATTTTGCACATGCTCAGTTTGGTGTGTATTGCTAGAGGTTTTTTCTTAGGAGAGTGCATGTGATCAACAGGTCCAAATCAGCGCTTGTCAGTCAGTTTTGCATCCTCCTAGAGCAGAAAGAAAACTACAAGCTTTAGCTAGTGCTGGGCACAAATGGAAGCCACAAGACTGCTCTAACCTCTGATGAGAAAAGGTATTTATCAGTTTAGATTTACTACTAAAAATATTGCATTTCTGTGTAGTGTACTGTGTGAGACCAGATATAGTGAATGCAGGGTCCTAGGATTAGTAACACTAAGATACTAGGCTTCAAAGTTGCCTCATTAAAAGTGATGAGTTTCCCCTGTGTGCGCCAAGCCTCTACCTATTGTACTGTGTCCCTTCAGTTCCTGGACATGCCCATGTGCCGCTGTCACAAGACCATGATATCTTTACTGGTAGGGCAGACCAGCCCTGTGTTGGATGGTTGATAAATGCCCTGAGCTGGGGATCTAGGGATGGTTCTCACCTCAATGAAGTCCAGAATGCCGCGACCCTTTCGCAAAATGAGGGCTATGTACCTATGCCTGTTGTAACCTGGGGGGGTGCAATACCCCAGAAGCCACACAGTCCTTCAAAAATGGTTTGGGCTGAAATGCAAATTCCAGCCTTTTCGCATTCTATTTCTGGGACCGAGAATTAGCCGACTGACAGTTATCTACACTGTAGACACCCCTGCTGGGACATCTACACTGTGCTGCTAATTCAAGGTGAACATGTAGCTGTTCAGGATTCAAACACAGTGGACTAGAGATCTAATCCAAACTGGGCTGGAGTGCATTTCCTTTAGAGGGATCAAGTTCAGCAGGTCACCTCCTTCAGAGACTGGGTCCTTGGCAAAGACCCCCAAAGGGGTAACTCACATCACCCCCATGTTCATTCACCTTGTGATCTCAATGTGGTCCTGATACAAGTCTCTTGCAAGATAAATAGCTGACCTAGTTGTAAGGGTTTTTTTTTTCTTATGGCATTGGGAGAAGTTTCTGGATTGGCAGCCTTACATTGTGAGGAAATTTTTTATAAAGATCCTGGGTCTCCTTCCTTCCCAAGGTGATTTACTGGCCACCTTAATCAAAATTGTCTTACCTTCTCTGTGCCTTGCTCCAAAGCACCACAAAAAAGGTATCTACATTTGTTTAGAAGCAGTGCTTGCAGTTGGGTTTACCTTTGCCACCTGCCTCCATTCAAACTGTTTTGCCTGCAACTGTCCCAAGGGGGCATCTCAACATCTCTAGGCACAGGGGCACTGTGTGGGACGCCAATGTACAGCCAGAAGGACCAGGAACAGTCCTTCAATAGCTGCTGAGCTTCAGCTCCTTCCAGGTTCCTGGGCAGACTCTGCAAATACTGCAGCCGCTTGCTGATCACTGTGGCATCTATTTCTTGGGACAGAGAATTAGCTGCGACTGGAGGAAGGCGATGTCTCTCTGATCTCTCATGTATGAGTGAATGTGACCCGGCCGGCAATCCATCACATGTGCAATTTGTCAGCGAGCGATGACATGATCCCACAGTCTGCTGTTCTAGTATCTGTTGGATCGGTCATGTGTGGGATTACACAAGGTGTGTGGGGCCTGAGTGAGTGTTTATTTCCCCCCATTGCCTTTCCAGCCTCAAATCTGTCAGAGTGTGGATCCATCATACTAAGGCAACTTCATTCTGGCCACTAGCCACAGATACAGTCCATAGTGACAGATTTTGTCTCCAAACTGGCTGCTGGCATCTTACGACACTTATTTTGTTGATTTATTTTTTCTACTGTTTAAAATGTTTAAGCATTTTGGGGGATACAAGTAGCTGGTCTTGTCCACGACACAATAGACTAGCACCGGCCCTGAATTACCCTCACCTGTCAAAGTGACCACATAAGTGAAGGGATGCATCGCCAATGGAGTCACATAAGAAAACCAGTCAGTTTTCTTATATGAAAGGGTTTCCAGGAGTTGTACTTTAAGGCTATTTGAATGACATTTATTCTAAAGCATTTTTATAACAATTGTCATTTTTATTTTAGAAAACCAGTTTGATTACAATGGGGGTAACTGAGCAATGAACATTGGTATGACCACAGAAGATTCAACTGACAGCTCTTCCTGTTCGGGTATCAAGGAGTTTCAAATCAATATGGCTCATATTTAAAAAATACTGTAAACAGTTTTTCTGACAAGTCTCTGAGCCCATCCAGCAGGTTTAATCTACTTTAAAGGAAACCTGCTAATTAAATGTGGCAGCCATTGGACTTCTCTTCCTTAGCTACATTGAATGCATGCTTTATCTGGACTCAAAGTAGTAAAGCCAGAATCCGCATTTTCAGGTATCAGAAATGTTGACCTTTTTTACCCTTTCGCTGCCAGGGGCAACGTTGTACAGACCTGACAGTGGAGGTTTTACACAATCTGGTGGCTGCATCCACTAACTTGTGCCCAATTTCTGAAAAGCAAACTTCCTGCCTTAGGTGGAAGCATTCTCTGATTGCTTCCACAAACCCTCTGTAACAGTGCCCCTTGTGCACGTATGGTGGGCTCCGCTTGCCCATCTGCTGGCTAGGGACAGACAGCAGGTGCGTTCACAAAGAAGGAAAGCAAACACATGTTTCTCCTCCCCATTGTTACTGACCCGGAACGTTGGTGTATGATGTCTCCCACCCCCCTCCAGTTACTAACTGGCCGGAACAGCCTGCAAGGAATATATTGTGATCTGCTGCATTACATTCAGTGTGCACAGGTTGCAGGTTCTTTAAAGAGACATGCAAGGTCTAAGAGACCCGGTTACCAAATAAATCACCACATAGGGGACTTTGCGTTAGGGAAAAAAAAAAAAAAAAGTAAAAAAAAAAATTGTTCTAAATTGCAAACATTTAAAGTTAAACCCAAGCATAAAATCTCACCCCCAGAAATTGAGGGCGCCCCCACATATGCACACAAACATTGGGGGTCCTACACATGAAAACCTCGATTGCAATACACGTTGTATATCTTCGCATATGCCGGAGTGAGAGCAATAATTCTAACACCATACCTTCGCCATAATGCTAAACTGATGACTTTTAGGGGGCTTGTGAAGTGTTGCCTATAGAAGATATATTTAAGGTTTGACATGTTGGGCATCTATTTACCCAGAACAGCCTTATCTTATATTTTACCAGAAATTCGGGTAATTTGTTGCATTTGCCCTACAATTCACTTTAGTGTGTTCTTACTGAAATTTTACATTTCATAGACCTTTGCTATAATATTGTGCAACAAAAAATTGAATCTACCACTATTTTATTCTCTAAGGTGCCTGCTTTCAGAAAATATGTTTTGGGGTTTTTATATATGCAAACGCTGCTGACAGCAAAAGGGTAATCTAGATTTCTTTTAACAGCAAATTTTGAAACCCACAACAGGCAAAAATGATATCAAGAAGCATGAAATATCCTTTGAAGAAAGCCTGTATGGAGAATATGTATGCTGCCCATGCCATCTGTCTAGGTAGCAGAAATATACCTTTTGGAAAATAACTGAAACCCATTACACTAGGATATCAGAAAACTTAACTGCAGGAATATAACAAAAACCCACACAAAGCTCTGCATTAATACAATTTTTTTTTTTTTTTTTTACGCAGTGTGTGCACCTGAATTTAAAGAGTTATCAGCCTAATGCATTACAGCAGAGCTTAGATAGGGAGTAAAAAGCAGCACAATGAAAATGCTGATCAGGAGAGAGCAGAGAAACAGGTGGGCACATTCAATTACTGCTTCTGCTTTCATCATCCAATCACAAGGTGCAGGTGTTAACAGGTGCAGCTGTTATAAGGTCACCTTAAAATTAAATTCACATCTGTCTGCAGGTTAAAAAAAAATGTGCATTCATTTTTATTTATTGGACAATGGGTGATCACGGCACGGGTGCTATGCAGGGCTCTTACAGATTGTCAGTGTAAGCTGTGTGTGTGTACATTGTATGGGCAAGATGACAGGAAGCCTCAATGAACTACCCAAGCACTCACATCACTCTTGTAGTCGATTGATAACTACAAGCTGCCAGACACAAAAGGCTGACAGTAGTTGTAAAATTCACAGAACTCTGATTAAATGATAGGGCTGGGTGGGCAGAGCCCTGCACGGCCACTTTTTAAAATTGTGACAGTAGACATGGGAGCAGCTCCAGCAGTAACACATTAAACCCTAAAAACGGGTGTAATGCATTTAAAAGGTGAACTTATCCTTTAAGTGTCCCTGAACTGCAGTAGAGAAAAATCAGGTCTCCTTCCCCACTAGATAGGGCTGTATGGTGTCACAAAACTGTATACATTTCAAATATATAGAACATATCAAATTATATATGGATTTAATCTGTGCAATTCAGCTATTTTCCTGGAGTTAAACTTTATGCATTTTTCCCAGCATAACTGTTTTAGCATAAAAAAAATTATTTTATAAGGGTTATTATCCATAC